ATATACTTTATTTTGTAAAATATTTTTCTCTTTCAAAAAATTGAGTGTAGTATAAATTGTATTTTATTATATAATTATAATTATTAAATAATGAAAAGTAAGCTATTGATTGTTGAGACCTCCTCGTCTAGCACCTTATTGTAAAGTAGGAAACTCATTGCAGTTGGAATAAGTGCAAAATCTAAGCTCTTAGATAGGTGAAAAATGAGAAGAAGAGCTTGTTCTCTCTTTATCTCATCTCATTTCAAAGTCAAACAGTTTGCTATGGTGAAATTTACGGTTTGAATTTTTTTAGTTCAGAGCAAGTTGGATTATAAAATAGAAGAAAATTTAAGAAAATATATGACATAAAGTAAGTTATTTTACAATTTCAGTTAATTTAAATTGTAAAATAATTTATTCATACTATTTATATTTAATAATTTTTATTTTCACCAAAAAGATTATTTATTATTAAACAATTTTGGTGATTAGCATTAACATTAGCATTTACCTATACATGCAGGTAGCTCATAACTAGTGCCATAGTAGGTTTTCTTTTCTTTTCTTTTTCTTTTTTTTTGAAAAGGTATAATTTGAGGTAGAAAAAGAAAAATTATAGCATGATAGCGTTATAATTTGAATCTTAATTATTATTAAATCATTAAGTATACTTATCAAGTGATTCATGAGATTTAATATAATGCCATAATAAACTAGTGCTTATTCATCAAGATGAGTGCAAGGCCAACTTCATCACCTAAAGTCTTAGTCCGTGTTTACCAATAAGGCTTAAACAAACATTGCCACTAGAATAATTCGGAGATTATGTTATGTTATCAGTGGTATAAAAGTATTATTTGTAATGAGTGACACCCTTCATTAGTTCATATTTATGTTATAGAAAAACTATACATTAATTTAATTTATACATTACGTTATAGGAGTAGTATAGAAATATTATTTGTAAAGAGTCAAAATAACAATCATCCAAGAACTAAATAATTGAGTAGTTAGTTTTTTTTTTTTTTGTTAAAAATAAAAGATTTTGAATTTAAATTGCATGACATATGGGTGGAATGGGATAACGGATGAAAGATAATTATCTCTCATTATACAATAAAAAAAAAAATCATCTAAGAACTAAGGAGCAAGTGTTAAATTTGATATTATTTGAATAAATGTACATGTTATAGATTTTATTTAGTTTGTCTAGTATATAAAAATTCATCATTACTAAACAGAAACAACAATAAATAAGAATGAACCGATCTTCTATAGATGGGTAGCCATTCAAAAATTATCTTACAATAAATAAGGATGAAACAAATTAAAGAAAACCAAAAAATAATGAACAAACCCGGCCGCACAAGGCAAGGTAAGAACCTACAACCGCTAAGTTCTGGATCTGGACCCTATATGCTTGCCACTTGGTCAAAATCCTCAGTTCTGTAAACTAAAATCTAAAATGGGAAAATTAATAGTAAGTACATAAACAATAAATAACAACCAATAATTAAAAAAGAAAAAAGTTATACAAAATCTCCGGGATATTATTCTGACACTCTCAATTATTAATATTATATTTTTTTATCTTAATTGATTATTATAGTTTTTAAAATTTATTAAAAAATAAAAAATATAAATTTTTAAGAAAGAATGT